TGATTTGGCTTCATCTGTAATATTTGTTACACAATTATTTTTGTACACCATCACCTAACGTGTCTTTAAATGACCGATGTTATTTAGAAAGCCATTTATTTATTTACTTATTGGTAGATGCTTGACAATTTTTACGTTTATACATGGACGAGCCTTTATCATTTTAGCCATGGCATCCGAAACACACATATAACGCTCACATTTCCCTGGGTTGGTCTTCTGTATCAGCAACCTCAACATAATCACTTAACGAAAATCAATTGTTGTCGTACAGTGCATGTAGTGTAATTTATTTTTGGACAAATGTTTCACCATGTGTCAAGTTTCCTAAAGATCTAAGTGTATACACGCTAAACGAAATATAAACACGGAAGGGGACTTATTTGCGCTGTGCTTTCTCGACTACTACCAAGACATTTTTATTTCAAGAACAAAAGTATATATACATATATGAAATGTATCATTATTACAAATCAAAGATTTGACTTATTTATTCAACTATTTTTTTCCAATAAAAATACAGCACTATTTGTACATTAAAAGATAACTCGAGATATCTTTCAGTTTTAAAACATTTGCTGTTGCTGTTGTTTCTTTGTGAAATATAGGAACTAGAAACCATTGAAAAAGTACTATGCCTAAGAGACCAGCTTGCATAGAAATGGTTTGCTATGTTGCCATGCTACATTGCGGCTGTGGAATTGTTCAGGGAATCAAAGAAGGGCAGGAACTGATAACACAATACCGTCTAAGAATCTTAAGGTGTATTTGGGTTAATTGAGGGTTCGTTTAAGTCAAGTCAAAAATGCATTTTTTTTCTGTACAAGAATAGACCTCTTTATCCGCATTGTCAATTCAAGAACAACTAAGACATTTTCCTATAAAACTGTAATGCATGATATTCGAAACAAATTTGGCGTATGTTATGCACCTGGTGGTTCGTACATCTGTTAGAAGGTTTCGTGTTTGGTCTGTATTTGAGCCGCTGGAAGGAAATTGAAACTACATAGTTAAAACCTCTTAACCATAATGTGATAATGTGCAGATTGGACCTCTCTCAGGTCAATGTCACTTTTATTTTTTCAAATTTTCGTGTCCTCTGTATCTTTTGAGCCAAAAAAATGAAACTATAACTTTTTGGCAGAAATATTACTTATCATGAGACGGTTAGTATGCAGAACACATGTCTTTGCTTCCTGAGATCAAAATTGGCCCCGTCTCGGCGATAACTTGATAAATACAAACACACATAGGAGATTGCGTCTCCGGTCTGTATCAGTTGAATTGGTGAGAGAGACCTGAAACTAGTTGCCAGAGATGCTATCCATCTCTAATGAGATAATGTACAAAGCACAGATGTCACCTTCCTCAGTCACACTTAGTCTAAACCTATTAACTTTAAAATTTTGTGTCCGCTCTGTATCTTTTAAACCGATAATAGAAAATTAAATATATTTGACAGAGAGATAAATTTTGAGGATAATGTGCAGGTTTTGATATTCTAAGGCACACTAACTCATTCAAAATCCTGATGTAAATTTATATAATATTACAAAGGTATATTACAATGTATGAATATATTAACATGTTTTTCCCAATATTAATGAATTATTTTTCGCCACTTTCATTCCCGAAATATTTTACTTTTTATTATGTTTTTATCAAACGTTATAATTTATTATTTGTTTCTGTAAAAATTGCATTCTTTTAAGAGATCACATTAAATCATATAATTTGATTATTTTGGATTAAGACAATCTTAAAATTGGTGTTTCTTAAATATAAGAAATAACAAATAAAAACAAGTTGTGAATGATAGATATGAAATATCTTTTTTTAGAATCCGGTTAGACTATATAAGTTACTAATCAGTCTTTTGCATAGGCTTTAGTTTATTCAACACCGCTCTTCCTTGTTTATCATGTGTTTCTTTTTATTATTATGGTTGCCATGTATACGAGTTCTTAAACACATGGCACGCAAGAGAACCAGGAGAGTCTTGAATTAATGGCATCCTTTTGTGTCTGTACCTTGCATTATCCTCCAAAATCTAAAAAGTCTAATACTTTTTCTGGAGGACTCGCCAATATTGGCAACCGATGGCGAGTATAAACTGAGATTGTCACAAGTTCTGTGCCGAATGTCCCGACACTCGCTTCTTAGTTTATAATTTTGCACAGAGAGAGAATGTTTTATAGATTTCTGAGTATAGATTTTTTTATCTATTTGTCCTACACTAATAAGATAAATTAAACTTTTGATATGAAGTTTTACATGGCTTCTTGTAAGGGCAATACGTTCTTTCTCCCTAAGATTTCTGCACTTTTACTCAGTGAGATCTATCGACCTACATTGTTTCATATTGATACTTTTATAGTTTTCAAGTTATGTCCTGGACAAAATTGAAATTCTAAAAATGAAAAATGCGCAATAACTCCAAAACAAGGCAAAGTAGAATTATGGTTCTTTGGAACTTCTCTTCTTTTCAATGAGATATGTCTACATACAAAGTTTCTTGTTAATACCCCTGTGGATTTAGAATTATGTAATTCAAACTTTTCAAAGTGTAAAAATAAACAAAGGGAAATAACTTCAAAATAAAGGCTAATAAAAATTAGGCTAGGCAGAGTGTCGGTTCCTTTTTAATGCATATGTTCTAAATGAGATTGATCTACCTACAAAAAATTTAATTGATACCTTTTATAGTTCTCAAGTTATATTCCGGACGAAGATTCTGTAAATAAAGTAAATAAGTGAACAAAGGGCTATAACTCCAAAAATAGGCAAGGCAGAGTTACGGTTCTTCTGTTTTGCACTTTTCCTCAATGTGATCTATGTACCTACAGAGTTTTTTTTTTATATATCTCTTATGGCTTTAGAGTTCTAATTCGGACAATGTTCGAAGTGTAAAAATAAAAAAGGCAATTACTCCGAAATAAGGTTATGCAGAGTTACATTTCTATCGCACTAAACATCTACCCAATGAGATATAACTACCTACAAATCTTTAAATCACAAGTTATAACAAAATAAACCTAAATTCCGTAATATACTTCTAACATTTTTTATCTTCTTCAATAAATACTATTTATTTTTTTTAGTACGCCGCTGGTTATATGTATTTTATTGCTGAGGAAATTTTTTGTGCCTCAAAATGTTTTAGAAAATAACTAGTCGGGCAATATAGACAGCAAAAAATAATGATATTGATCAGAGACTTATATTACAGATCAAATACAGGTAGATATGAACGTATGTAAGGGAAACTATTGCGTAGTCTCCCTTCGCCATATGGGTGTATTCGATTTGCCGTGAAACATGTAACTGACATTTCAAAATATAAAATCGACGAAGGTTTTTGTTTTGGCTTATTTACAAATGTATGTATTTCTTACCATAATTAGTTGTTGATATTTGTAGAAAATTATTAGCATTATAGGTGAAAATTTACATGCTTTGTGATATTTTAATATCATCTTTTATTACTGACTAATGTCAGAGACATAGATAACATGTTATCTACATCTCTGCTACAGTAGTGCAATATTGCACTACCGTCATTTTGTAAGCTTTGTTTGTATTGGAATTACATTCCTTAATAGGTAGGCATTAGTGAAAGCATATTTTTAATTACAAAAAGTACTTTTATCTAATTAGAAAATATTTAAAAATTAAAAAGCTTATTTTTCCAGGGAAAAATTTTTTTCTTGTTTAAAAAAAAAGGAAAATTACAATTTATAATTTTAATGGGTTTGGTAAAATATTTTTTTAAATTGTAAATTAGGTTTTGGGATAAAAAAACTTTCAAAATTTTATTTTTCAAATTAATACGTATAATTTTCTAATTTAAATTAATGATTTTAAAAATTTTTTAAAATTTTAAAGAAAATTTATTTTTAGGGACCTATTGATTTTTAAGGTTTTTAACACATTTTACGGGGGGCCCTAAAATCTTTTTCAAAACCGGGAAAACCCCCCAGATTTCCCTAATCAATTGAAAGGCTTTTGTACCGATTAACATTTTAATTTTTAAAAAATTTTTAATATTTCAAAAAATGTTTTAAAAGAAAAATTTTTTTAAAGAACCGTAAAAAGTTTTACTTTCAAAACAAAATTTAAAAATTTTAACGCGTTTTAAAAACTTTTTTAAATTTTTAACCCAAAATTTTAGGTTTTTAAAGTTCCAATTTTAGGGATCGTAAAATTTGAAGGGTAAAAAAATTTTTTTTCTTTTAAAAAATTCCCCCTAGGGAATTAAAAAATTTTAAAAGTTTTAAAAACATTTTTTTTCGAACACTTATTTCTGTTAACAAAAAACCCCTTTTAAACATTTCAAAAATTTGTTTTTCTGGGGAAAAGGGTTGTTGAACAATTTACCCAAAGGGCAAAATTTTAATGAATTGGGAAAAAAAAAGGGCCTTTAATTAGTTTCAATTTTAAAAATAAAATTAAAATTTTTTAATTTTGGGGTTTCCCGGGTTAAAATCCTGTTTTTAAAAGTTATTACATTTTTTTTTTAAATAAAAATTTAAATAGAAAAATTTAAAAAATTTAATTTTTCCCTCCCCCGGAAAGGATTTTTTTTCAAAAATTTAACCCGTGAATTGTTTACAAAAAAAGAATAATAAAAATTTTACCCAAAAAATAATTTTCAAGGAATTTTTTTGGGTTTACTTTATTATTTAATTTTTTAAAATGTCTTGATTAAAAAAACAATGTTGCTTTTTGCTAATATTTTTATTGAATTTTTTTTTTAAAAAATTTGGGTTTCCTTTTTTTTAATCAAAATTATTTTTTTGATTAGAAAAGTATGCAAAGAAAAAAAAAATTTTTTTTTAAACAAAAATATTTGTTTGTGAACGGTACAAAATTTTTTTAAAAAATTCGAAAAAAGTTAATTGAAAAATAAATACATGTAAAAAAATGTTTTAAATTTTTTTTTTTTTTTTTGAAAACGGTTTAAAATTTTTATTTAAAATGGATTTTTAACAGAGATGACACATGTTCGAACTCATACGAAAAATAAATTAGACAAGTATCCTGACCATGTTTGATGACAATTGAGTCAAATTGTGACCAATAGAATGTTAAAAGGGTTTTTGGATATTTCGATGGTGGTGTTGTGACCTAGTTTTTGACTTCATGTGACCCAAGCTGTTAAGCCATCTCTTTTACACACATTTCACACTTTCAGGGGTATCAATAAAACTACAAAATGTTTCTTAACGTATTAGATTTGTCAAACTATTGACGCCGAAAATCATTAATTAAACAAAACTAAAAAAGAATGATCACCAATTAAAACTAGGTTTCCTCAATAAGATAACCCATTTCTTTTGATTTCCTTTTTTAAATTATCATTATTATTGTTTCTTTTAGCAGCCATGCAAAATTGGCAAAGGAACAATTTTTGGGCTATCATAACAAACCCTTATGAACTCATTTCTTAACAAAGCTTATAACATATTATTGTGTATAAACTAGTGGTGATCTCAGGGAAGATAAAATTAAACGGAAATTTAATATAAATGGAAATGTATAGCTTACTTGTTTGCATCCGTTAAACCTGTATGGATAAAAATGGACAAAAATCAATTATCGATTTTCCAATAGAATGTACAGAATGCTTTAACCACAATTGGGTTTATTGTACTGTAGTACTTACAAAATGTTTCAATATTTAGAAATCTTGTATGTTTTCAAACACAGTTGATGTATCTTTACAATGCAAGGTTATTGAAAACTTAGCGAATATAATGTTGTCAAATATTGCAATTCATAAATTCAGCAATTGATAACTGATCCATTTTCTTATTATATCAATAACATATAAAATGATCGGTAGTTCACTTAATGTTTTATAAAGTTTTTCAAGTCTTACCATGCAGGTCTTCATATTGTACATTCGATGTTGAATCCAACTGAGATGGTCTTTGAAATATAAATGAATAACCACAGGATTGTTTACCATGATATTAAATAAAGTACTAAATATATATTCAAGTGAGTTGAAATTAAAATAAAATATATACGAAAATACCTTTTAAATATCTTTAAAGACTAGAAAAACAAGATGTTATGTGTATATCGTTACATTTTCAATAAGAACTATCTAAACAATATTCTGAATATTTGCATAAAATATAAACATGTAAATCAATTCATAGCCATCTAAATAAATAAATCTTTGAAAATATATTTGTATATGAGCCGTGTTTAACGCTTTAACATAAATATACTTACGATTCATATAAATTTTGCATAGCTTGTTCTGTTGAGAAGAAAATACATATTTTATTAAAGATGTCAAACATATATTTAAATTAAAAAATGTCTCAATAAATATTTATATTATACGGTATATCGTGAACAAATCAATGTATATAGACAGAAATTCGTTCTATGGTTTTTACTATTAACATACCAAACTGATACGAAACATGTTAAACACAAAAACACACAAACTTGCTGACTCTGTAATGTATTATACATATAAAGTGTACCTTTTGCCGTTTTTCTTTTCTTCCATATGAAAATCCCGATGCAAATAGTGGAACCAATTAGTACGACTGAAATTATCACAGCCGCTATAACCCCAGTTCTATTATCTTGTTTGTCACCCTCAAATTCTAGAATGTAAATTTATCATTTAAGTTTCCAAAGTAACACAATGAATTTAGATTTATTTCGGTTTATATCATCTTTTAGAGCACGTATGCACTTTAAAGGCTTTTATAAAAATTAAACGTTTTATTTTGAATGTTCAACCAAACATGTGTGTTACCTGTTTCTTTTGCAACATCAAATGTAGTTGCTAAAACAACATGTTCAGATCCTCCTTTTGAATTAACAGAAAATATTCGAGCAGTATATTTTCCTGGTCAAAGACCCGTTATATTTACAGTATAGAAAGTACTGTTAACTCTATATTTACTGTCTATCTCGCTAACATTAAAAATATTTGTCCATGTTTCTGTACCCACAATCGATGTTTGTATAATAAAAGATTGTTGAAGTCCTCCATTGAAATCTTTTTGCCACATAAATTTCAGTATGTTATTTTCCGACAGGAACTGTAAAAATTTAGGTGGCAATGGTGGACCTGAAAAATTGAAATATATATCCAGTTCCGGCATTTATTAAAACAAATATCTAAACAAATCAGACCAATACTATTTTGGAATCAAAGAAAATTCTATCAAAACACCGAAGTATATGACAGTTATTTTTATGTGGCTCCAATACTATGAAGTTCGACTTTAAGATAAAGGCCTCAAAAGGTGCCCATTTTTCAATATTTGAGGTGAAAGCGTGCATCTGCCCCTAGCGTTTTAAACATATAACAATTATTTGTTTGAATATTTCTAAACATCAATTTGAAAATAATATCTACAAGAAGTGCTGCCTTTATATCAATTAAATAATGATGGCATTTATATCAAACGATTCAGCTTTGTGGGATTTGCACGAGAGCCAAATAGTGTCAACAACTTTTTCATAGCTCATAATTGTGAGATTCTAAGTCGAAATGAAGAAATAAAACTTGATTGGGATACATTGGTCTAATAATCAGAAGAGTTTTAAATTACGAGATTAAAATATCGGTAACAAGCAATAATATCTATACGTATGTCAAGAGCTTGTACAATAAACACATGTAGTTTTTATACTCGAAATAGAGGCTCTTGTGATAGGCTTTCCTAAAACCTGTAAATACTTTATCCTGGGCTCGGGACAATCTTATAACGACAAGTTGAAATGATTTATTTAGACTCTGTTTCGGTGAAAAAGAAATATTTCCCTATTCATTATTTTGAAGCAAACAATTATGTATCTGATAAAGATAATTTTACCAAGTACTCAACTATAATAAAAAGAGATACGTTAATGTTTTGTGTTATAAGGTAACAAGAATATTCATAAGAGATACGAGAAACCGATATATCACTACGAGATATTACGTCGGTTTTAAAGGATAAAATAAACCCAGAAATTGAAATTACAATCTATTTTGCTTAAAAGGTATAAAACGATATCCTATGAAACATTTTTATAAAACTTATCATCAGTAAAATTATATTGGATCCATTTTCATATGGTCGATTCTGAGAAAATTTGTAACAGAATATCCCTGTTATTTCACAAATATGAATATTGCTTAAATTGTCTGAGGCGTAATTGTTTTTCCTAGCAGATAGTCTTTTTCACGTCTGGAAGACACTCTTGAAGAAAATACGACTAACTTTATCTTAATTTATAAGACGACTATGTGTAAACAACGAGATGAACAGCATATATATTAATACACATTTAATTATAAATAGAAAAAATGAATGGAAAATGATATAGTTCGGTTAAAAAGTTGCATGGCCTAGGCAGTGCAACCTGTAGGCAAATTGAATGTAAGAAACTCTACATATGAAAATATTTAGGACTTCATGGTAAATGTTAATGTTTGTAAATAAAATCAAATCTGCCTACCTTCTGCTATCACATAAACAAACGCCTGTGTTGTATCAACAACATTTGTAATTTTGAATGAATAATTTCCAAAATCTTCTTCCTTTGTATCATTCAACGTGAGATATATGACATTTCCTTGTAATGTGACATCTTTTCCATAAAATTTTGTCTTTACAGACTCATCCATAACAGGAAACATATCACTAGAAATAGACTGACCATCATATCTTGTAATTTCTATATTGTCAAGTACAGGATTGCTGTTAATCGGGATTTCAATATGTATTGTGTCTCCTGTTGAACCAGTAAATCGAAGATCATCTTTAAGTATCTTTGGGTATACTGTAATTAATTATATATAAGATAATATGCATCATTAACACCGGAATATGAAAACTATTGAGGAATTGTTCAGCAATAATTGTAAGTGAAAGCACCAATATATCTTAATATATAATTATATACATGTATATCTTAATATATAATTATACAAATTTTCGTGTTTAATGCAAACAATCATCGAACCTCTTGAGGCTAGTATTAAATCATATAAAAAATTATTAATGATCGTGCAAGTAACGTAAAGAACAACTATAAAATAATGTATTTTGGTTAAAGCTTAAAAATTCAACAAAATGTTTCCCTTAATATTGTTTTTTACAAAGTACGGAATAAACTGTATCAAAATATAAGAAAATTATTGCAAATGTGATCAATTTGAAAATTATACCTTGATAGACAATGTCAATGGGATGGGCCAGGGCCAAAGCTTTATAAAAACTGACGAAATAATGCCGGTCTAAAAAGGAAGAACTATCTTCTGCTAATACCTGTTCTGAGCAATTTCTTTTTGATAAATAAGACATAAAATCCTAGTGTGCGGAGAAAAGAAATGTTAAAGGACAGTCCCACGGGCAATATAAAATATAAAAAAACTCACCCTGGCCACTAGGCTTTAAGAACACCCGAGCTAGGTAAAAATGAAAATTTTGTGTGTTTGAGCCTAATCATGGATGGAAGTGGAAAGTGAAAAGTACCACTCTCAAACACACCCGCCTCACATTTGATAGGATAAGCAGAATTTACAATAAAACTAAAACTCCGCGAGTCGGATGTGTCGCCTTGTGAACAATATAGTTTAGGAGAAATGGCCAGGACAAAAATAAAATTTGAAAATGAACAATTGGCAATAACTCAAACATAAGAAATGCAGAGCAGTAGTTTCTGTGCACTGCCCTTCTTATCAATAAGATCTATTATCCTATTAAGTTTCAAGTCAAAAGCTTTTAAATTTATGAGAAATGGCCTGGACAAAAATAAAGTATGAAAATTAACAAAGGGCAATAATTCAAAAAATAAGAAATGCACAGTACAGGTTCTTGGGCACTGCACTTCTTCTTAATGACATCTATCATCCTATGAAGTTTCATGTCCATATATACTTTAGGAGAAATGGCCCAGACAAAAATAAAGTATGAAAACTAACAAAGGGCAATAACTCAAAAAATAAGAGATGCAGAGTACCAGTTCTTGGGCACTGCACTTTTTCTTAAGGAGATCTATCATCCTATGAAGTTTCAAGTCCATAGATTTTATACTAAAGGAGAAATGGCCCGGACAAAAATAAAGTATGAAAATTAACAAAGGGCAATAACTCAAAAAATTAGAAGTGCAGAGTACCGGTTATTGTGCACTGTACTTCGGGTCATTATAAGAAGCATGTATACCTAGTTTGAACTCAATCCGACGTATAATGACTGACTTATGCTCCAGACAAGCTTAAGGGGACGCCGACACCGACGCCGAGGACGACAACGACGCCGCCAACAAAAGTAACCCCTATATGTCGCCTTTTTCAAGGCGACACAAAAATGAGTTGATGTTTATGTGTACCGTTATATAAACAACTGCGATCACTGATCACATAGGTTGCCTCATGGTAGCGATTGCATGCTGTAGCAACTGTGTAGCAGTTGGCACAGAAATCGTTTACTGGGAAAATGCGTAATTTATTCAAAGACCATAACTCGGCAAAAAATCATTAAAACAAAAAATCCGTGTAATATTTGCAATTTCTTGAGCAACCGATCAATTCTGTAGAGTTCCAACGAAATTGCTTTAATGGTAAAGAGCAGTAGTCCGGACAAAATTTAAAAATTAAAAAAAGATAAGAGCGAAAACTCAAAACAAAAATCAATGCACCCAGAAATGTTAGTGAGATGCACAACTAGACATGGAATTGATCATTAATGTACAGTTTTGATGAAATTGCACCAGTAGTGTCTGAGGAGTTGTCCAGGCAAGCTTCTTTGTAGCTGGCAACTCAAAAACTGGGGCATTTTTTACTTTTATTAAAATCAAACAAATAAAAGATTTAAACAAATCTTTAAGAGGAAATTACGTAGAGAGAAAAAGTCGATTTTTCTGTTATTAAAACTTAAAAAGGTAATTTGACTTTGACTGTTATTTGTGTAAAATCAGTGAAAGATGAGTTTAAAATGAGAAAAGTGAACGACCTTGGTCACTATAGTCTGTCCTACCAAATTTGAATATTCAATTTTTTTATTAAAGATAATAGGAAAATCATTTAAATTAATGTCATGATAACCCTGACGTCATTATCTCTAGGCATGTTTTTCCTTTCTGTTTAAATAGTCAGAAATATGGTCAAAATGTTAAAATAATATTTTCTCCGTTGACTTGCGTTGTAACCTGACGTGACATCCTTTTCAAAAATGACGGCGCCCATACGTCATTTTCGGTTCGTCTCTCATTAGCGTGAAATGTACTCGGTATTTTTAAAAAAAAATATTCTTATTTACTAAATGATCAATATCGAAAGGTTATCATTAAAATGAAAAGTGAGACCAAAATAAGACAATTAAACTAGCAAACCATTGTTAAAAATAATTAAAATCATTTGAAGTGAATCCAGAAACCGCTTTATAAATTCTAACATAGAAAAGATTAATATTTGTTTGTTTGTTGGATTGGGTTTTACGTCACATCGACACAGTATAGGTCATATTGCGAGGTTCCAGCTTTACAGGTGGAGGAAGACCTAAGGTGCCCTTCCGTGCATTATTTCAGGCACGAACGGGCACCTGTGTAGAACAACCGACGTCCCGTAAGCTAGTTGGATAGCTTGCACATGAAAGAATCCAAAGTCCCTGTCGGGATTCGAACCCACAGCGGTGAGGGGCAAGTGGTTTAAAGTCAACGACCTTAACCACTCGGCCACGGACGCTAGCTCGAGCAACCAAACATACAGATTTAACCTTCAGTCTCACAATTTAATTTATAAAATGTCCAGAAATACCAGTGTTTTGATATTATTAAGTATAAGTTTCAATTGATGCGTTCAATAAGGGACAATAATTTTCTTTTATGTAGACTCAAGGTAATACATATTATATTATTATGAAAGGGCGAACGAACCAAAGAAAACAACACCGAGTGACATCATCAATAATTTTAGCATTCCTAAAATCTGAAAATATTCAGTGAATAGCTATTTTTTAGGCAGGAGAATCAATTAAAGAAGAGACCTAGTTTTACAGAATTTGAAGACATAAATAAAGAGAATATATGTAAGGAAATGATTTCTGAGAAAAATATAAAAATTGTTTACAAACATAAGGTCAAAACGAAGTTTATCTGTGAACTAATGACGGAAGTATTGTACTGTCATAGATTCATAGATTCATGTTATCAAGTGATAGACAATATATTGAAGTAAATGAATACTTTCAGCCAATATGTAAATTTTAAATGTCACTTCTTTATGAAAATGTTTTACTAATTTAAATTTATTACTCTTCATATAAAAATTGAAGAATAATACGGTACTTTGATTTTGGTGATATCCCTATACATATAAACTTCAGTATGTTTCTTCGTTACTTTAAGGACTAACGTCATTGTGAAAATTCTGAAAATGGAATTTGGAAATCTGTTCTTTTTGCTTATTACCCTTAAAATAAGAATAAGTATTAAGTACAAATATAAGTGGTTTGGGAGGTTCAACATGTGTTTCTGTGGACCCTCCCCGTTATATGCCTCACACATACAAAAACATTTCTAAAACTATGTTCGTATGAATTATGTATTATGTATGTATAACGATAGTTTAAAAGGCTTTAATGATTTAATGAGTTTACCTTGTACAATGATCTTTCTTGTACCACTTTGGTCAAGTATTCCCGATAGGTCTGATATTCCATTGTTTAATGTACATGTGTATGTCCCTGTATCGTCAAGTCGGAGTGATTTAAAATAAAAAGAGCTATACCTCTCTGTATGATCTACAGCTGTATTGTTATTTGGTATTGCAACATTGTTCCAGCTTTGAATTAAGCTTGTGTAGATGTAACTTGATGGTACACCATGGCCGTTACAGTATAATGTAAGACTTTCTCCTTCTTTTACACTTGTCCTTGACAGACTGATATTTACATCAGGGGCATCTGTATTAACGAAAGTAATGAATATCATAAACATGTATGGTTTACAGTAATAATGTTTTTCCGAATACATGATAGTCCAAATCAGATACGCTCCTATGTGTCATATGATATGACTTGTTGTCGACAAAACTATTATGGTACTCAGCAGTTATCGGAAATGAAAGGACGAACAGATTCGCTATATTAAGATTCGCTATATAAAAACATTTCGCCAAAATTGATAACAAACACATACAACGATAAACATCTGGTAGATAGGTTTTCTTATTTTGACGTAGATTTTATAATCATAATCATAGATAATTGTAAGAATAGTGATTATTTGTCTTTATAATGAATATGGAAAGTTATGAAGTAAAATTCAAGAATAAGTTTTATTCAATTGAAATTAAAGAGTGAATTTTGTGTTTACATTGTAAAGTACTGTGTCGCTATGAGAATGTGAAAGTGGCGTTGCATTTTTTCGTATACATAAAAGTTTACAACCTTTATCTTATCTGAACAGGTGAAGCACACGTTTTTTGTAGAAGCGAATATAATACAAGCTAAGAAATAGAATTTGAAATGGCGCAAAGGCAAAGTTAGTAAAGTCAATCGCATGCCGTGCGACTTACATTTTATCATGAGTTTTTTTCCTTTTTCTTTCCCTACATTTTTAGATTTTGCATTAGATGCAAATGAAGTGGAATATAAAGGTTGCTTTGTTTCAATATCATACAATTCAAATTAACCGGTTATAATTTTTTTACATCATGTGTAGTATGTAGTAGTCATAGAACTTGTACATTGCACGAGTATTTCGTGCCAATTTACAAAATGTAACTACTTTTGAAACGCTTAGTGTAAATGTATGCAATCTGTTTAGTTTTCAGTATAATGTTGTACCAACTAGTTAGATATGGCTTCATTGAAAACAAAAGAAAAATTGAAATGACAATTAAATAGAAAATAACAAAACACTTAATATCTTTACAAACAAAAATACAACATATTCTTATTTGATTATAAATAATACAGGAAGAAATGCGAAAAAACTACAATCCCTACCTGGCTGCATTGATATTAAACTAGACAATCTTACTTACTGCATTACGTAAAGTGTGTTTGTAAATTGGGTTTTTTTTATATTGCAAGCATAGTAAACGCAACTGGATAACTGTTTTACCCCGTTAAAGTGGAAATGAAATCATTAAATATTTTTTCATACAGGCACAGTAAGTATATTTATTTGAAATATAGTTCGCATTAATCAGCATTTCTTTACAGAAATGTATCGGTCCAAACAACATTTTATAGAGATTAAGGATTACAGTGTATTCTTTTTATTTTTATTATCTCTTTCAAGCTCTTTAATTATTACTAACAATATTATAGTTGTTCCAGTACAATTTCGTCTTGTCTGTTTAAATCTTCCTATTGTAAATAACATATTCTATTAGTTCAACGTAGAAATCATATTTATTGTCAACAAACAGCGCCTGTAATAGCCCAAGTACGTTTTATACAAGTAGGGAAATAATCACATAATAAATATTTTTTAAATCTCTGTTTCCGAAACAGGCAATTCGGTTATTTATTCTTCTGAAAATATGTCAAGGATAACGACGATAGAAATCCTAAGTTTGTCATCAATATCGAAATAAACGACCAAGAGAGTAGACATAAGTATGCTGTTTTATATAACAAGACGATAATTGCATTAAAACGACGAGCAAAAAGGGTATAATCTTGGAAATGAAGGAAAATCAGAAGAACCTATAACTTAACTATATTTACGCGGGTAATAATTCGTGTTTTTTTGTGACACGATGCTTTACAAATAGCGTACAGCACAACAGGCAGCATATGCAAAAAACATAATACCTACATTGAGCACATGATGGTATACCGAGAAAGAGTTAAGAAAATATGATTTAAACTCGAATGTTTCTTCACAAATACTGCTTAATATGGTACAATTTATATTATTTTACCTCAGATAACAATGAATGTCTAATTTCTTTCATTTACATTAAATGAAAATGAGTTTTCAGTATATTTTGGAATTGTATTTCAATAATTGCACCAAAAAGCTTTTATAAGTTAGTGCACTGCAAGTAGTAGGTTTCAGCGCTTCGGGATGTCATTTCAAACTCAATGTTTCGGATTGGGCATAAATTCCAAAAAGGTTACCTACATTACACATTAACGACATTGTACATGTGTAGCTTAGTGTGCGGAACAAACAAATTATCTTAGTGGATGTTACACTATCGCATTTGACAGTCCTACGCTTACAAGTGTAAATGTTTAAAAATATAAAATTATACGTGACACATACGAAAACATACGCACGCAAACTGAATTTGCTTGGATACTGTTTCTTAAAGTTTTCATGAATGGATGATTTTTCAACGAAGGTGTATTATTGCTTGCTAGCGTGCGTGTGTGTGTGTATGTGTGTGTGCGTGTGTGTTTGTGTGTGTGCGTGTGTGTGTGTGTGTGTGTGTGTGTGTGTGTGTGTGTGTGTGGGTGTGTGAGTGCGTGCGTGTGCGTGTGTCATATCTGGATTGAAAACACCACACTAAAATTGTATTTCACAAAATGTTAATTTTGCAATAGCATGTAACAGGAATTGCCATAGACTTATAACTGGCGACAGTGCTCTCGGATTTATAAAACACGTTTTTTAAAGAGCATTTCTTTTACAGACCCGTGCTTCCAAATTCATCCAATGAACACATAGATATGTTGAATTTATGAAAAAGAAATGAACAGTCACTATTGTACTAATTGTATAATAGTACCCACAATGCAAATAAAGATGCCCAGGTACAGTTAGAGAACTTAAGAGACCTGTTAAAATATTGTATATACTATGATAATTTTACATCTTTAAATATACAAATTTTCGATGGCTCGGCGCAATACTGGTCTAACTGCTATTTTTGAAAATGTTCAGGAGAGACAAAAAACTGATTTTATTCAAAAATACTAGATATTAGAAAACATTTTTTTGCTATGTTAACATTAATTATAATAAGAAATAATGCATTTATATATTTTTTATTAAAATGTTAGAAATTGTGTATTTTAGAGTAAAGAGTGTGATTTGCACATGTTGACACTATGTTGTTATTGTATTGCTGGAGATGATAGTGTAAAGTTTGTATATAACTTTACTTGATTAAAGAGAGTGATACAGTAGTAGGTACATAATTTAAAAATAAAACGCCCTAAAAAAACACCTGAAATTGTTCATTGTGTTACAGGCTAAGTTTGATTTGACAGTGAGACAATGTACAGTCTACCCCCTTACCCCATCTTAAGCAGAACACATGATATTAATATGAACAAAGTGTAAAATTAAGAATTAGGAAATCTTAGCATATGATTAAACAAAGGTCAAACTAAAAAAAAATAGAGGGGATCAGAGGTTATGAATCCATTAGTGTAACACTTGTTATTTTCCATTTCAAATGTGTGCATGAGAAACATACAGTATGTCTTTTACTACATTGTACAAAAATGATAGTTCCAACTGCAATTTATGTTATCAAATAATACAGTATGAGTATGATGTAATGACTTCAAAGACAAAATAAATGTTAAATTGTGACACTAAATTATTATTTTTTTTTTTTCAAGATTTTTCGTTTACAGTTACTTGTACAATCATGATATACAATTGGCTAATATTTCGCGATTAATACAAAGCACTGATGGAGGCAAATAATTTGTAGTGTTTTCATGAATTCTCACATTCTTTATAACACATTTCAATGGGATATGCATATTATTCTGTACCTGGAAACGAAACATTTAAGGTCTAACTCAAGCATTTTTGAGGAAAAGTGATATATTTGACATCGCAATAAGAGACCAACTCAAGTTAGACCTATATTGCACAGACGAAATTGAACTACCTGAGATAGTCTTTTATTTTATATGTAAATAAAAAGGCAAAAAGCATAAATTACCCTAAAATTTTCACAGAATGTGTATTTGACCTTACATTATCAAAATATGTAAAAAAGTGATTTTTGATAAAAATGTCACTTAGACCAGTTTTGCGCTGAGCCATCGCAATGTAGTATGTATAGTAAAACTGTTTAATTCTTAATTGATGTACGCCTAATGCTTTTTTATATGGGGGATGTTGGGGTAAGGGAAGACTAAATGCTTAATATTATATTGATCATGCTCTTGACCGTCTAAATATTTGTTTGTATTTTTATTGATATACAAAATTTCTCATATAATAGACTGTGTTCTACAGGTTATACTTATTGAAATATAATTGCGCACCAAATGCGTTTATTGAATAACATTTGTCCAGCGCTTGTCTACTGCATTGCTATTATTTATATGCTATTATTTATATCACAACGCAACTTTCTATAAAGGTCGTCATATGACTGCGACTGCATTAATTAATGAACACTTAGGGTGCCCTGCAGTGCGTACACCATAGAAGAACCACAAACCTTATAGATCAAACTTATTAAAAAATAGAAATTATGTTAAGTCAGACGTAGCCAGTGGAGAGAGATTTGAAGTCATGATTTTTAAGGCTTAACCTCAGTAGGAGACGAAAATATCATGGCGAAAGTGTTTTAAGAATGTAAAAATCAAATGTTTTGAAATGATTGGTCGATAAGTTGGCAAAAATCTTGCCTAGCGCGGACGTGTTATGTGTTCTACGTCAACGCAAAACAATCGTTCGCATAAGCCATCGCTTTATGATATCGCAACTAGATTGTATGCGTCCACCTATGTCGGTGCTGTATTGCATGCAAAACTGATGTTGTCGAATTTGAATGCAGATTGTACTTCGGAGAACTTGAGATGTTTTATGAACCATCATGTGACTGCGAATGTTTAAAAATAGACAATAACCGCTGGGTAGGAAATGGGATATTAAATAACTCGAAATGTTATAAGAAAACACATTAGCCTTAATTGTAAATGACATGTATTTTAAAAAACAATCTACCTTTAGAACTTTTAATAAGGAGACCACTCATTATTTGGGATTCATTTTAAGTAGGACTTTGGATTTCAATAAAATAAGTACAACTGGAAGCACATTGGATTAAAATATTGAATATCCGTGAATTTAAACCCCAAATCGAAATACGATTTTAAAAGTTCTGGAAGTAAAACCCTATTTAATCATGTTTTTTTAAATAAACTAAAAGCTTACATTGAACAACGATTTTTATAGTTGACTCTGCAGACTTTGAGAAATGTGATTTTGCTGTATTGGTACTAATGCATTTGTAATCTCCAGCATTCTCTCTTAACACAGTGTTTAGTTGAAGCACACGTGAAGACGTAGTAGCAGAGGAACTTGTATGTTTCGTCCATTTATAAGAACAACCAGGATAACAATCTGAAGTACATTCAATTTTTTCATCTTTATCCCCTTCTGTTACAGTGTGAGGTGATCTTTTGCTGAGAACTGCTGAATCTGGTCCATCTAAAACGTGTAGTTGAAAAATATGACATAGATAATTTGTGAAAATCATGTTTACTTAAATAGGTCCATCTGAATAATGTTAATCATTATTTAACAATAAACACTAGTTTAATAAGTCATATTGATGTTGTTTACTGAAACAAGTTTAAGCGGAAAATGTTTGCTTTTAGCATTAAACAAGTATTAAACATATTTTTGTATCAAATAGTAAACATACATTTGGCTGATATTTCATGAACTGTGTCTATCCAAAATAAGGCTAACACAATTGTTAGAAGTATCAAAGTACAAAACCATAACATTATCATCCAGGCCACTTGGTGACAAAAGTTTTGTAAAGGATTAATTTTATCTATTGAGAAATGAAGGAAATTGTTTACGCCTAGCCACCTGTTTAAATTAAAAATGTAATATCGTTTTTCACAAACGTGGTTAAAATTTATTACAGCCTTGAGAGTTCTTTCTATAAAACTTCTTTTATTATGCGCTTTTATGTTTATTGTACTTACTTATATGCGCTTATAATGTTTATGAATACACAGGGGAGGAAGTGTTACACGAAGGATGAAGTTCTTACATGTATGATAACTTGTTTGGAGTTCTTATGATAACTGTCACGGAGTTCCTGGAAAACGTTACGGATTTCAGTGGAAAACTTCTCTATATACTTAGAGAACTCATGTAAAAAATGGTCATTTTTACCTTTAAATGGGGAGTTTGAGGTGCTAAATTAAACTTTGATAATTAAGCTTGCCCTACATATTGTATAATATTTCAGAAAAACCTTTTAGTCCATTTTTCATCGCCTTTTTTAAAAAAAAAAAATCTACTAGTTCTGAGTAAAATTTCCAAATTACTTGTCATTAGTACATATTGACCTTTTTATTTGTGATCTTCTTCGTTGCTATACATAAATACATAATTGTTATGCATAGTTATGATCACAAATGAAAAAGTCAGTATGTACGAATGAGCAAGTAATTTGGAACTTTTATTAAAAACTACCAGATTTATTTTTAAAAGACGATGGAAAATTGACTAAAAGGTTTTTTTTAGGTCACTGGAGCTAAAAATAGAAAAACCTTGTTAACACCCTAGCGGTCACATTTTTGCATCAATCATCATCAAACTTGGTCAGGATGCTTATCTATTTGATAGCTCGGATGAGTTCGAACATAGGTCATCTCGGATGAAAAACTAGGTCATAAGAGCTAAAAATAGGAAAACTTTGTTAAAACTCCAGCGGTCACAATTTTGCCTCAATCATCATCAAACTTGGTCAGGATGTTTGTCTACGTGATAGCTTGGATGAGTTCGAACATGGGTCATCTCGGATGAAAAACTAGGTCACGGGAGCTAAAAATAGAAAAATCTTGTTAACCCTCTAGTGGCTACTGTTTTGATCCAAATATCCTGTAAATTGGTCTGAAAGTTTGTTTTGATGATTTCTAAGTCAAGTTCGAACATGGGTCATCTTGAATGAAAAACTAGGTCACACCGCCCAAATATTGAAAAACCTTGTTAACATTCTAGTGGTCACATTTTCGACTTAATTATCATCAAACTTGGTCAGGATGCTTGTCTAGGTAATTGCTCGGATGAGTTCGAAATCGCATGTGAAACTAGGTCACCGGAGCTAATAATAGAAAAATCTTGTTAACGCTGTAGTTGCTACTGTTTTGATCCAAGTATCCTGGAAATTGGTCTAAAAGTTTGTTTTGATGATTTTTAGGTCAAGTTTGAATATGGGTCACCTGGGTAAAAAACTAGGTCACACTGCTCAAATATGGATAATCCTTGTTAATACTGTAGTGGTCACATTTTTGACTCACCTGTCATGAGACTTGGTCAGAATGCTTGTCTAGGTAATTGTTTGGATGAGTTTGATGGGTCAGGTGAGCGATCTAGGGCCATCATGGCCCTCTTGTTTATAATTCATAGCCAACCACTCCTACCGGTCCTCATGATACTTTCTTCATATTAAGTTCTTTCAAATGTCAACCTACATCGCACGACCCCCGAGACAAATTACAAACAAATTGGATACAGACTGTCTCAATGTAAATAAAATGTTGAAATACTCCCCTTAAAGTTCAAATTGTTATCTTTCAGTCAATAAAGAACCAAAAAGACAGAGTAAGATACCCCCATAGACTTGGTTTCCAAAGTTATAGTTGTTGGAAATGAGTCGTTACGTGACCCCTAAATCGAAAATACCAAAATTTTGAATGGCCAATCCATAATGGGCTTATAAAAATATCTACTCCTCAGTGCAATTTTATGACCAAATATACAATTTAAAAAAAAGTCAGGGTCAAGAAACATTTCTTAATATCACAAAGGCTAATTCAGTGGCGGCATGCCGAGGGCTGAACGCGTCGCATTAGTAATCAAATGATCGCTAGTCGAATGGATCCAAACACGTTCGGGTTAAGTAGTTGTTTCTTTGAGCAACAAAGTGTACACTCATTGCTCAGTATTGGTTGGTTCCAGGAACGGATTTGAAAGTGTGTGCATCCAGCTTCCTACACAATCGAACTAAGACGAATTCAGTATAATCCAAAAACGCTTATCAAATGCCTATTTTATACAACCATCCTTATGAGTAAACTTTCCTACGACAAGTAGACAGTTCCATTAGTAAAGTAATCTCAAACGCAAAGTATTTTACCTGATTGACGGTGACTTTTATGATCTTGGCAATATTGACTGAACAACAATCATCTCTATATGTAATACATAACAAACTTCGAAAACGTCTTCATGTAATTGCTTACAGCTCACTAACCAATATCTCACTTTCCAAAACAAGAAAAGAAAGGAAAATCTTATCTGGATTTTCAATGAACTAAACAGATAAATGAATAGTTGTAAGCGTAAGTATTTCAAACTTAAAAAAAAACATAACGATAAAAAGTAAGATTCCTCAAATCTGAGATAAAAAAACACAAATGTACATTAATTATTGAAAATATGTTGCAAATATGTTACTCAATATTCCTATTCCCACCAAAAAAGATCATAAAAGAAGAATCTACCTAAAATCTGTTTTCATACATGAAGTAAAAGAACTTATAATATCAATTAATGTTTTGTCTTTAATAAGAAAATTATATCTTGTATGACGTTTAAAATTTATTACGTTCTTTCCGATCTTGCAAAACTAATTTCCTTCAGTCAAGACAGACATAATCATAATGGATTTTACATGCATTTGCCAAGGTGCCTAATAAACTTATCTTACAAAAATTTGAATTTATGTCATTACATGTAATCAATGATTTGTTTAAGAGAATAGGACCCAGACAGTCGAATTTGAGGACAAGGAACCTTAAATAATTCCTTTAACACCAGGCGAGGCGACGCCCAGGGCACGGGCTTAGGATTGATCCTCTACGCATTCAACATCAATGATTTCCCTGACTATTTATATCACAGTGGATTTAGACTTGTTGATGGACTTCAAATCTCCATAACTTAGACAAGAAAATTCTGCAAAATATCAAAACATCATCCTTCAATATGCTTTAACTTTCTGAAATCCCAAGGATACAAATTAAAAAAATAAAACAGAAAACTGCAAAGATGTCAATTATCAAAATCACAACACACATTCTGTCATCAGTATGATAAATAATCTTAATTGACAACCACAAGAAATCCAAAGAAACCGGTAAATAATGTTCCATAAGATTTCTGTATGTTCCAGCATGTCCTAAATAACAGATCTGATACCATAAGAAGTTGCCAACATAGCTATCTAAAGATCCGTACAAGTTTTCATTTTACCCAAGAACATTCAGTCAATGGAACATTTACAACCCATCTTGTACACATGCATAACTCACCGTAGACGCATTCAAATTCATTGTCAATGTTCCTCTAGTTGTATCAATATAAATTAATCAATTAGTCAATCAAACTATGACTAAAGTTATTCATTTTGCGCTTTTGTAAATATTTAAAATTACCGGAAATCTTCTGTGAATTCAAGAAATGTTGTAATGAGAAAAAGAAAAAAAGAAGATACCAATTTAGGGCAACATTATTACTGATAGTGCGATAGCACGGAGGAGGAAGTGTTACACAAAGGATGGAGTTCTTATAATAACTTGTTTGGAGTTCTTATGATAACTGTCACGGAGTTCTTGGAAAACGTTACGGATTTCTGTGGAAAACTTTTCTATATACTTTGAAAACTCACGCAAAAAATGGTCATTTTAACCTTTAAATGGGGAGTTTGAGGTGCTAAATTAAACTTTGATAATTAAGCTTGCCCTACGTCGTGCGATGTAGGTTGACATTTGAAAGAACTTAATATGAAGAAAGTATCATGAGGACCGGTAGGAGTGGTTGGCTATGAATTATAAACAAGAGGGCCATGATGGCCCTAGATCGCTCACCTGACCCATCAAACTCATCCAAACAATTACCTAGACAAGCATTCTGACCAAGTCTCATGACAGGTGAGTCAAAAATGTGACCACTACAGTATTAACAAGGATTATCCATATTTGAGCAGTGTGACCTAGTTTTTTACCCAGGTGACCCATATTCAAACTTGACCTAAAAATCATCAAAACAAACTTTTAGACCAATTTCCAGGATACTTGGATCAAAACAGTAGCAACTACAGCGTTAACAAGATTTTTCTATTATTAGCTCCGGTGACCTAGTTTCACATGCGATTTCGAACTCATCCGAGCAATTACCTAGACAAGCATCCTGACCAAGTTTGATGATAATTAAGTCGAAAATGTGACCACTAGAATGTTAACAAGGTTTTTCAATATTTGGGCGGTGTGACCTAGTTTTTCATTCAAGATGACCCATGTTCGAACTTGACTTAGAAATCATCAAAACAAACTTTCAGACCAATTTACAGGATATTTGGATCAAAACAGTAGCCACTAGAGGGTTAACAAGATTTTTCTATTTTTAGCTCCCGTGACCTAGTTTTTCATCCGAGATGACCCATGTTCGAACTCATCCAAGCTATCACGTAGACAAACATCCTGACCAAGTTTGATGATGATTGAGGCAAAAATG